AGGAGCAGCAAAAGGAGGCCAGGATGCCTCAGCCAAAGAACCCCTTGAGCCACGCCGACAGGTAGCGTGGGCAACGACGCTTGCCTGAGAGCGCCGCGGCGCGCAAACGCGACAATGGCCCGCGAGCGCAACCAGGGCCTTTGAGGACAAAGAGGTGGGGGCGAGGGGGGGGCGCCACCTTCTTTTGTCACCGAGGCAAAAATGCTCGCGCGCACCGCGGCGCCTGCGCGCGCCACAACAACCGCGCGCAACGTCGCGCCAGCGCGCGCCGCGGAGCCTGCGCCTGTGCACGCCGCCGATGCGCGCGCCGCAACAGCCGCGCGCGCGGGCGGGGGGTCGCGCCGCCGCCCGCCGTGCGATCGTTGCGTCTGCGGAGGGGGATCGGGCGCCCCGTGGCGAGCGCTGCAGGGGGGGCGATAGCAAGAAACAAAATCTCGAGCTAGCGAGAACCTGGTTACATTGCCCGCTGCAACAAAGCTCTCGGGGATAGCATGAGCGCCGCTCGCCCAGGGGCGCTGCGCTCGGAATGCGCCCTGGCTCCGCAGAGGTGTCTTGCTTCGCGCGGAAGAAGGCGCGAACTATGGAGTGACCACTCAGGCTGGATTGCGTCATCTCCATCGGGTCCGATGCCACTGATAGGTGGATATCAGTAAACATATAAAAAACATGCTCACTGGTGCCGCGCTGCGGAGACCCTGTTAATCGCCGGCGCGACGTACTGCTGCCTGCCGAAATGCGCGGGGATATCCAGGCGAACTTCTTGCGTCGTGTCAAGTAGCTGCCGCCAAAAAAGCCTCTGGAGGTTGACGCGTGTAAACTGTGCGTAGCTGCGCCTTGTCATGGATAGGATGCTCGCGCGAAAGGGGAACTCCTTCTCGAACGTTCAAACCGACAATTGCGATGATGGTCCGCTCGAAATGGTTGTGATCACTCAAATGTCACCCACTGGCGCCATCCGTCGCCACTGTTGCGCTTGTCGCCTGCCGGGGGAATGTAACTCTGTGCCTTCGTAAACGCTGCGCCCAAGGACCAAGGTCCAGTAGCTGTCTCTGGTCTGCGGGGATGCCCCGACGCCGCGGCGCCGAGTCTGCAGCGCCGCCCTCGCGTGATTCATCAACAGCTGGCGCGCGCCGTGGGTCCCTGGCGCGAAGATGGTTGCCGACGCGCGAATGATGCGCTCCGGCTTGACAAGCTGTTTGCACCTCCCTTACTCTTCTACCAGCAAAGACCACGGGCGCCCCACGACGCCACATGGCCATCCTGTGCTGACGGAGTGAAGCGCCAGGGGATCCGACTTCTAAATAAACCACAGCGAAGTATCAGTAGCGAGAAGAAGGTATTCGAACTCTGCGTCGATGGCCGCCTCGTCGATGCCCGCGTGCTGCGCCGCGGCGTGGCCCCAACGTCGCTGCGTGGCTGAATTGGCTGAATTACCCACGTCGGGGGCGACAAGTGAAATTGCGCTGCAAGAGATGATGCCTTCGCCGCCGACGTTTCGGAAGAAATGGTTGCTGTAGTTGTTCGCCGATCTCCTGATGAATCAGTTAGGTTCTTGTTCGCGTCGAAGAATTTTGTCTGCGTCAATGTAGAGAATGAGAGACCATGAACTATGTGGTGATGAGAAATCACGCCATTGTCCGCCAATTCGTAGATGTCTTGTCAGAGCTACAGAACGAGAGCTTCCAGGAAGAAGCACCGAGCCGGTATATCGCCAATGAGTTCCACGTCTCTTGTTGAAACTCCTGCTGCGTTGATCCAGGGCTCGTGTCGTTTCACTTCTGCTGGTTGAATTACCGAAGGTGCGACGGTGGTGTAAACCTGCGGGTTTGGAGGTCGACCCCATGCCGCGAGAACTGCCGTATCCAGGGGATGTAATGCGGCTTCCGCTATGGCCAAAGCCGCTTGTGTCTGTTCCACGTCTGCACGCATGTGCTGTTGCTCTTGTTCAACGAGGGGTGTACGTTGACCAAGCACACGAATGGTAGCGTCAATGCCGTCGATTCTGCGTCAATGCAGTCGAATATGTCTGGATGCCACTTGTACCTCGCCTTGTAGTGCAGCTTGAGCTCTTCGAACGATTGCTTGAGACTCCTGCTGCAACCGATTCGCAAACGTCTCCATTTGCGCCGTGTAGAGATCAGCGAGACGTTTTCGAGCGAAAGATTGGGAGGAGGAACGCCTGGCGTGGCACCTTTCGCTGTCCCACACGACGTTCCTGGAACTCCTCCTGCCACGTGAGTGCCAGGGGGCGTAACCACTTCTGCTTCGAGTCGGTGAGTGCAATTTCAACGGATGTGCGAGGAATTTGTGCAGCTGACCACGAACCTGCCCACGGATCATCATGCGTGAGGGCGCCTTCACCACGACATGGGTCTGCTGCTGGAGGGTGTGGAAGAGCAGCGCCACCTGCATGTCATGCTGCTGGTCGAAGTGCTGTTGCTGCTGCTGCTGCCCCTGCTCCACGGCGCGCTGCTTTTCGAAATGGTGTAGGCTGCGGGCGACCATTTTTTCTCCACGGTCTTCTCTTCGAGCGTCCGGTTGTGTCCGATTTGGTTTGCGAGCGTCCTGTTCTCGTTCGTCCGACTGAACACGATCTGACCGATGCCTGGCTCCTTTGTGGCCGGTAACTGATGTTGACGATGAATTGCCGCTGCCGCTGGAAGCCATGCTGAAACAAAGCGTAGCCGTGCTGATAGAAGCGAACGCAGGTCAACCACCTCGTGGGAATAAAGGGAGCCACTGGGAGGAACTGGGCAACCTTGGACTCGATGCGGGTACCGTGGCCGAGGACCAGGCACGTCGACACGAGGAGCTCAAGCGAACGGCAGGGATATGGGAAAGCACGGCGGCAAGGAGACGTTGATGAGGCGGCCGCGAGGCCATGGACGAGGCGGCAGATAGCTGAACACTGCTGGCAGTTCGGGCTCCTCCTCCTCCTCCTCCTCCTCCGCCTCCTCCTCCTCCTCCTCCTCCTCCTCCCTCCCGCCTTGCCTTCCTGGGAGCCATCTCCGCTGAAACAACACTTTTTTCACTTTTGCTGGTGGGGGGAAAGAGGAGTACTCGTAGTGTGCACCTGTAGAGGGGGGAAAAGAAGAGCGGGGAACAGAGGGAATGATTATGGGGGAGAGGGGTGGGGGAGATGGGCCGGGGAAAGGGGCTCGGGACGGGGAGGCTCAGAGAGTAGGACTGCCTGAAGCAGCGGTGGCCTCCGAGTCAGAACGCAGACCGCCAGGGCGCTCTGACTTCAAAGAACTTCGGTAAAGACAGGCGGTCGATCGCAACGAAGGCGCGGGCCGCTCAAAGCGGGGCACCGGACACTGCAACACACGACGAGGGAGGGCGTGACTGGATGACAGAGGCCGAGGAGGTGCTGACGAGGTCCCCCTCCTCCACCTCCTCCCTCCTCCCTGCTCGCTCCTCCTTTCTCCTTCCTCGTCCTCCCTCCCTCCTCCCTCCTCGTCCTCCCTTCCTCCTCCCTCCTCCCCGTCCTCCTTCCTACCTCCTCTCTCCTCCTTCCTCTTTCCTCCTCTTTCCTCCTCCTCCTCCTCATCTCAAGGGGCCCTTTCCCAAACGCGCGTGCAAAGACTAATCATAGCATCACTATGAAGTCTCCTCTTTGGTAATGGTCAGAAGATTGATGGTGGTTTCCTTGCCTCCCGGTCCTGGTCCGTTCTCCCCCAGGCAATGGGGGGTCTCTCCCCAAACTCTAGAACTGGCCATCGCTCGGACGTCCATTCCCTGTTTTTTTTCGGTTTCGTGCGTGGTTTTTTCGCCAAATGATCAAGGATGCTCCTCGAGGGTCCTCGCCGAGGAAAAAACGCACACGTCCGAGCGATGCCAAGCGAAAGGCCCCACCCAAATGACATCCAAGGAATTTTCTGCCTGCCGCTATCCTGTTGTCCCAAGCCAGAAGAAGCCCCACTGTGTGTCCAGGACTTCCCCACACACATCCACCAATTGGCCCTGGACGGTCCCAACACGGCCCCAAGACGGCGCACCCCGTCCCCCCCCAAATGGCCTTTCACAACCCAACGCCACCCAGGCAGCTCCAATACGGAAATGGCCCAGCCCAGAGCGGCCCGAATGTGCTCGCTAGGCCGCTCCAGGACTTCCCCATGCCGCAACAAACATTCAGCCTGGCCCGAAAAGCCCAAACAACTCCGAAGAAGCCCAAGCAAGCCACAACAAGTCCTCTGGCAGGCTCCTGGACGCCCACCCCGGATGTCGCAAGTCATATCGTAGAGTCGAACTTGGCATACTCCAGACTTCGTAATAAAGGGAGGGGGGTCTCATTTCGGGGGGGGTCTCTTCCAGCCTATCTTGGCGGGCCTGGGGGGTCTGGGGACGGTGTTTTGGAGGGTTCTCCCACGGGGGGGGGGTCTGAAATGGCTTGTCTTGGAGGGTCCAGACCCCCTTCCTTTTATTACGAAATCTGGAGTAAACATCAACTTTGAGAAGTCCGCGCGGAGTTCTTGGATCGACGCTGGCCCCCACCTCCCTGGTGCGCGGAGCGCGCCACGAGCGGAACGTACTCCAGATTTCGTAATAAAGGGAGGGGGGTCTCATTTCGGGGGGGGGTCTCTTCCAGGCTATCTTGGAGGGCCTGGGGGGTCTGGGGACGATGTTTTGGAGGGTTCTCCCACGGGGGGGGGATCTGAAATGGCTTGTCTTGGAGGGTCCAGACCCCCTTCCTTTTATTACGAAATCTGGAGTATGCTTACACATGTTTCGGCCCTCGGGACGGCTCTAGAAAAGTCGCCACCCGGAGTGCTGCGCCGGAACGCTGCTGGAACTTGCCACACGTTGGAAACGCTTGCGTTGGACAGGACGGATGCTGACAACAGAGATGACGGGGCCCTGGGACACACAGATGAATACACACAAATAACAGGATACCCCATGTTTTCCAATATTTTCTGGGTTTTTGTCTTCCCCCCCACTTCCCACATTTTCCCATATTTTCAAAAGGAATCGTCGATTCATTGTGTCTGTGTTTTTTTTCCCTCCTGAAGAGAAGGGGTGGATGGAGACAGGCGGAGGACAATCAAGCAACTGGGATGAGAAAGTGGCCCTCGTGGAGTCAGGTCCTGGACCCTGGGGCCTTCCCTGGGGCCAGGTTCTCATTCTGATCAGTTTTCTGACGGCCCTGGGGTCTAGCGAGGGCCAGGGGAAGCCGACAACCAGGAACACTACTCAACACCACTCCAAGACCCGTTTCCTCCAGGACACTTTCCTCCAAAGCGGCTTGCGGATGCCCTTGCATGAAGGCTCCGCGGAACTCCGCGCCTAGTTTGACACGGCGTCCAATGAGGATCGGCCGGAAATGAAACGAACGAAAAAATCTCACAACGCAGCACAGACCTCCAGCCCAGCCCGTTGCTAGCGCCTCCTGCACCTCCTGCGGATAATAAACATCGATGTGGAATGCCTCGCGCGGCCCGAGCAGCTCCCTCTTCTTTGCCAGGTCTGTGCGTCCACCCACAGAGTCTCCTCTTCCTCCTCCTCCTCCTCCTCCTCCTCCTCCTACTTCTCCTCCTCTTCCTCCTCTTCTCCTTCTCCCTTCGGGTGCGCCGACGAGGGGGCCAAGAAGAAGAGGAGGGTTAGTAAATCATGGCCCGAGGCATGTGCGCGGACGAAGGGGGGGGCGGGGGGCGCGTTGAGAAAGACGGAATAACCACATCTGGGAAATTATGTCATGGCCGTGGCCATGATATCCACACGCACCCACACACCCACCCACCCACCCACCCACACACTAACACACCCACACTCCTACACACTCCTACACACGCGCACACACACACCCACACCCACACCCACACCCACACCCACACCAGCACCCACACTCGCACCCGCACCCACACCCGCACCCGCATCCGCACCCGCACCGCGCCCGCACCCGCACGCGCACGCGCACACGCACAAGCACACGCACAGCCACACAAACGCACAGACGCACAGACGCACAAACACGCAAACACACAGACACACACACACACGAACATACTTACACGCTTGCTCATTTACACGCTTAGTGTCAACTTGTGATTAACAAATCCATGGGGGGCGCGTGTTAACAAGAAACAGTTCCCCTGCTCGGGCGAATCGCGGGGTGGCGCCCGCCAGATTCAAAATCAACGGGGCGGCACCAGTGGTTAGCGCCGACGCCCGTCCGCCAACGAGGGGCACTGGGGGCGCGTTTGGAGGCAAGGGCGAACCATGGCGCCCTTTTCGGTCAAACCGATGCGGGCTGGACGAAAATGGGGCGCAGCAAAGGGATGATTTGCCAGGCAGCTCACGTCGACGATTTTCCAAGCGCTTCCTGGCACCGAAAGCGGCCATGCGTCGAGGACTGGCCCTGCGCGCAGCAGGCTTCGCAACCCCCCCTTTCCTTCCCCAGCCTTTCGTCTGACCCGAGCAAGGCGGGTAGTCCTCCTCTCCCCCTCTGTCGCCGTCGTCGCCGCCGTACCCCGCCCTGCCTGCGCCCTGCCTCCTCTTCCCCCTCGTCCTCGTCCTCGCCCTCGTCCTCCTCCTCCTCTTCCTCCCTCTCCTCCTCCTCTTCTTCGTCCCCCTCCTTATCCTCCTTCTCTTCCCTCCCCCTCATCTTTCCTCCTCCCCCTTGGCGCGAGTGATTTTTAAGAAATATCGCGCCCCGCGGGTTCTATTCATCAGCCCCGGGGGGGGTCGGGCCATTTGTTAATCACAAGCTCACATTACACACGCACACAAACACACACACGCACACTTACACACACACACACACACACACTTACACACACACTTACACACAGTTACAAGCAGTTACACACAGTTACACACACTTACATATACTTACAATCACTTATGCAAATACGCACACTTACACATACTTACAAGCACTCACACGAACTTGCACACACTTACATACACTCTCACACACAATTACAGACACTAAAAAACATACACTTATACGCACTTACACCACACCACACCACACCGCACCGCACCACACGACACTTCACCACACCACACCACACCACACCACACTACAACACACCACAATAACTACAACACAACACAACACAACACAACAAAACGCAACGCAACGCAACGCAACGCAACACAATCACACCACACCACACCACAACACACAAAACACACACAGCACAACACATACACACACGCACACACACACGCACACGCGCACACGCGCACACGCAAAGGCACAAACACCGGCACAAACACAGACACAGACTGAGACACAGGCGCCGGCACAAGCATTAACACGCGCACGCACTCACGCACGCGCGCACGCACGCGCACGCGCCCCAGCCCCCACCACCCCATGTCGGGGGTTGCTGAAAGTGCCCTTGGCTCAAGGTGCCCCGAGCTTTCCGCTCCATTTTGGAGCCCCTGGGGCCTCTAGGCCCCGTGAAGAGGGCGTTCTGGAGGCTGTGGGGTCCTCCCGGGAAACCGTGGGAGGGCACCTTGGACCAGGGTCGCTTCTGGCAGCACCCGATCTTGGACGCCCCGCTCCCTTCCACTCCGCTCCTCCCCGTTACCGTGGGCGGCGGCGAGCCCCATGGACAACACTCGGCGGTGGACAAACCTCCCTTTAGTAGACCTCCCCTTAGTGAAAACGGCCTGGGACCGAAACCGACGGACCTGGACCCGCAAAAATGACGGCCGCGACGCTCTCTCGCAAACCGAAAACGGCCAATTCGACGACAAAGAAGGAGGTCAGTCCACCCCCGAAACACGGGCGGCCCGACAGGTGCCTCCGCCCTGCCGGGCCAGGTGGGGGGGGGAGGCCCAGGACGCTCCGGGATACGTCGGCGGGCCACAAGCATGTGCACGCGCGCACACACACAGGCATTTTGTGCGCGAGCACCAGCATGTGTGGACGGGCCCAGTCCCGCGCCCTACAGTGGGGGCGTTGACCTAAGGAACGCGAAATAAGGAACGAGGCCCCTTTTTCCCATCAGTTAAATTTCGATTCCCCATCGAAAACCTAAGGAACACCTAAGGCAAGCTGTGAAACAATCAAGGAACACGGAGCCCCTCCTCAACGAAAAGGGTTCCTTCTTCAGGGCCCCGACTGTACTTGACGCACGATCGTTACCGTTGGCGGCCCAGGTAATGACCGTTCCGCATAAGAGGACAGCAAAACAATCCCCTTCGTCGTTGAGTGTCCCCAATGGACACAAACATAACGCGAGTGGACTCCACGTGGGGGCTCTCGGACCTCGCGCAAAGGTCGTCGTTGAGTGTTAGTTACTGCGTGAGTGGACTCCACATGGGGGCCCTCGCACCTCGCGCAAAGGGGCAACGCCGAACGGCGGAGCTGCGTTCCGCGCTGCTGCTCGCACCGGGAGGCTCGCCACAGCGGCTGCACCGCTGCAGCCCGCGGCCGCGGGCGAGGGGATCTTGCCCCATGCACGGTGTGGGCTCCCCCATTTTTACCGAGACAGGAGGCCTCCATGATGCGAGACAACAACAAGCGGGTCGCACGCTCGATGATAAAACCTCCTTACGCGGTGGGTTGCGCAGACCGCCAACGCGGCAAGCTACACTGGAACCAAAGGCGCGCATTCGCGACTTTACACAGGAAACCTCCGCGCGAACGTCGACGCAAACGGGCTTGTTCCTCTGCGTCGCTCGAATGCGATGAGAAAAACTGGGTCGAATAATCGAGCCGGACTGGGAACGGCCCTTGAAGGTCGAAAACGGTTAAACAAAAAAAGGCCTGGGAACCCTTTTTCTCAGACATCACACGATGCTTTTTTGTTCCTAGCCATCCTGTGTTGAATTGGGTCTTTGTCTTGAATTCGCAGCGCCCCGCGTCCTTTTTTCTCTTCGCCCTCCTCTCCCATCTCACAATTTCGGCACACCCTTCAGGGAACTTCACCTAAACCTCCGCGAATGCGCCCGCATGCGGCCACCGCCCAACTTTGGCACACCCCTCAAACGCTTCGTGGCCCCATAAGGGCCCCACTAAAAGCCTTAGTGGTTGCGATCGCATGCCGCCGGCACTCCATTTTCGCGCGCCCCTCAAACGTCTTGTGTCCGCATGTGGAACCCCGCCGCAGGTCCCAGTGATTGCGCCCGCGTGCCGCCACGGCCCCACTTTGGCGCACCCCTCACACGCCTCGTCGGCCCATAAAGGGGGCCCACCTAAGGCCCTAGTGTTTTCGCCCGCATGCCGCCACCACCCCACTTTGCTGCATCCTTCCCACGCCTCGCAGAGACCTATAGAATTTCGTGGCCGCATATGGACCCCCACCTCAGGCCCCAGCGGTTGCGGCCGCATGCCGCCACCGCCCCACTTTGGCACACCCCACACACATTTCGTGACCTCAAAAGGAGCTTCGCCTCAGGCCCCAATGGTTGCGCCCGCATGCCGCCGCCACCGCCCCACTTTGGCGCACCCCTCCCACGTTCCGCAATGTCACCTTGTGATTAACGAAAACAAGCGGGGCGCGTGATTCAACAAAAACCGTCCCCCGGCTCAGGCGAATCACGGGGGGGGGAACGCCCGCCAAAGTGGAACACGCAGCGGCGGTGCCGATGATCAGCGTCGACGCCGATGATCAGCGTCGGCGCCGCTTCAGCGGAGGGGGACAAACGCCTCCGCTGTAGCGGGGGCGCTTGTCCCCCTCCGGAAAAAGGAGGGGGCGGGGGACGAGGCGCCTCAGTTGGCGGGCGGCGCCGACATGGCCACAAACAGAAAAAGGAAGAGGAGGGGAGGAGCGGCAGAGGCAGGCGGGAAAGGCTCCTCTTTCCCCGTCCCCACCCCCCCTGCAATACAACATGTCCTGCGACGACGACGGCGCAGGCGACAGCGACGGCTGACGGACGACGACGCGACGCACTGCGCGACAAAGACGCATTGCCGATGCCCTATGGGAGGGGGCGGGTGCTGCGCAGGCCCGCATCGTCGTAGTCGTCGTCGTCGTCGTCGTCGTCGTCGTCGTTGTCGTCGTCGTCGTCGTCGTCGTCGTCGTCGTCGTCGTCGTCGTCGTCGTCGTCGTCGTCGCACTGTGGATGCCCCATGGGGTGATGGGGGGGGGGCTGCGTGGGCCCGACGACGACGACCACGACGACGACCTCGACGCACTACGGATGCCCAGAGGTGGCTGGGGCCGAGCAGGCCCGCTGTAGTGCCGGCTGTAGCCGAGGACGGCGACGAAGACGAGGACCTGGACGAGGACAAGGACAAGAACGACGCACTGCGGATGTCCCATACTTTGTGTGCGTGTGCGCCGCGTAGGCCCGCAGTGGTTGACGACGGTCTGTGTGTGTGCGTGTGTTTGTGAATATATATATATATATATATATATATATATCGGAGGTTGGGGGGTGAGTCCGACGTGAAACGGAGACCCCCATTACCGGAAATCGATGTTAATTTCGGGTTCGTGTCGTACGTGCCGTGCGTGCGTGCGGGCGAGGCGAAGCTGCGTGGGCGGGCGAAATGAAATCCTCCTGTGGCTGGGCCGCGGCCGGACCAAATGTAACTCCTCCGGCGGCCGGTGCCGCGCGGTGTCCCGCCAGTGTCCCGTGGTGTCCCGTGGTGTCCCGTTGAGTGAGATCAATCGTGAGATCGATAGTGAGATCGATACTGAGATCGATGTGGTGCCCCGAGGTGTCCCGTGGTGTCCCGTTGGGTGAGATCGATAATGAGATCGACAAGTGTCCCGAGGTGTCACGTTGAGTGAGATCGATAGTGAGATCGATGTGGTGCCCCGAGGTGTCCGGTGGTGTTCCGCTGAATGAGATCGATAATGAGATCGATACTGAGATCGATGTGGTGCCGCGAGGTGTCCCGTGGTGTTCCCTTGGGTGAGATCGATAGTGAGATCGACAGGTGCCCCGAGGTGTCCCGTGGTGTTCCGCTGAGTGAGATCGATAGTGAGATCGATGTGATGCCCCGAGGTGTCCCGTGGTGTCCGCTGAGTGAGATCGATAGTGAGATCGATATTGAGATCGACAGGTGTCCCGAGGTGTCTCGTTGTGTCCCGTTGGGTGAGATCGATAGTGAGATCGATGTGGTGTCTCGTGGTGTCCCGCTGAGTGATATCGATGGTGAGATCGATAGTGAGACCGATAATGAGATCGAAAGGCGTCCCGCGATGTCCCGTTGAATGAGATCGATGGTTGGATCGACAAGTGTCCCGTGGTGTCCCGTGGTGTCCCGTTGAGCGTGATCGATAGTGAAATCGATTGAATCAGAGGTTGGTTCACCCCCCTCCCCCCCCACAACCTTTTTATCACCCGAAGGGTGGTCGTATAGGCGTGTGTATATATATATACATGCGTGTGTGTGTCTGCGTGTGCCGCGTAGGCCTGGTGTAGCCGACGACGACGCGACGACGACGACGACTGCGGCACGTCAATAATCAGCCTGAGAGGGGCAAAAGACTTTGCCCAGATTGTATTCGATCAATACGACAACTTCTGTAAGAAAGGCCATCGTTTCGAGGCTGCCGCGCAGGGGGTTACACGATCCCCTCGGCGGCGTCCGGGACGACATCCCAGCGCGCGTGATTTAAAACATGTGTCGCGCCCCGCGGAGTGTGCTGATCAACCCTGGGGTGGGGTCCATTTTTGTTAATCGCAAGCTGACATTCGCCCCATAGGGATCCACTTTGGCGCACCCCTCGCATGCTTAGTAACCCCACAGGGAGCTCCACCTCAGGCCCCAATGGTTGCGCTCGCATGCCTCCCACCACCCCACTCTGGCACACCCTTTACACCTTTTACACCTTTCGTGACCCACATTGGAGAGGAAAAGCATGTGTGACCGTGCCTATGTTGGCACATCCCTCACGAGGTTCGCGGACCCCCAAGGAGCTCCACCGAATATCCCGTCGGCAAGACTCGCATGCATGACCGCGCTCCCGTTCTGGCACACCCCTGGCTCGTTTCGTGGCTCCACAGAAAGCCCCACCAGAAGCCTCGCCGCCTGCTGTCCCCCGTGCGCACCCTGCTGCTCCCCAGGGACGGCAGACGCTCAGATCAGCTGTGGCGGATTCATCCAGATGCAAGCCGTTGCGGCTGACCCAGGCGATCCCATCAGCAACGTCGCTCCGTCCTTCTCACGCGCGCCTTGGCCCTTTTGCTAGCCCCAATTAGTTTCCACCTGTCTTTCGGTACGTACTCGCCACTGCATATGGTTGGGTCCTTCGCCAGGCTCATTTTTCTGTGTTTCAATCCGCGGCCCCAGAAGTCCCGACCCCTTCCCTTGGGGCAATGTTTCGCCCTGGGTCCCTTTCCGGTGGTCTGGGGTCCGACAACGGGCCCACAGGCCGAAATTGAGGCAAAGCCGCCAAGATCGAACAATGAGATCGTCGGAGATCTGGGTTTACTCTACTGCGACCCGTTGCCTCCTCTTGCTCGTGGCTCCCAGACCCGCCATCTGGGGCCCGCCGCCGCACGCGCCCCCGCTGCTGCCGCCCAGGGACGGAACGCCGCGCGCTCCGTCCCAGGAGGAAAGCAGCCCGAGCGGTTCTCGAGGATCCTCAAAACGTGTGTTAGCCAAAGCGTGACTTTGTCCACCGAGGCTCTTCGATACGACGCGGGCGGTGTCATGAGGGCCGGCACGGGCTGCGTGCTAGCGGCGAAGCTGAGCGGGGAAACACGCACTCTGGACTAACACAAATCCAGAGGCTCATCGCGAATCCCCAAGGCAGCGTTCTGGTGCTCCTGAGGGTTCCCGAAGTAAAAGGGAGAGAGAGAGAGAGAGATAAAGAGAGATAGAGAGATACAGACATCTTGCTATATACATATATATACATATACATATATATGTATATGTATATATATATATATATGTATACATGTATACATATGTGTATATATATATACACAGAGTGATCGCATAACAAAAGCTGCGAGGCTGGAACTTCTGCAAAACCACCGCCCAGGGAACCGATGCCCCAGGGCCCCGGGAGGCAGTGGATGGGGATGTACTTTGAGCCCCAGAAGAGCCCGACTGCAACTATACCCACTGCCTCCCGCCGAGGCTAGGGAGGATCTGCTCCCCAAGCGCTGGGTCTGCAACTTCCAGCCTCTAGAGAGGTAGAGAGAGAGAGAGAGAGAGACAGAGAGAGAGAGAGAGAGAAAGAGAACAAGCAAGAACAAGACAACAACATGAAGAAGAAAGAACGGACACCATAATGAAACCCGCTCGCAAGGTGGCTTCGAATTTTCGCACGAACAGAAACAACGGGTGCTGTGGGCAATGGCTCCCAGACCCCGGAGCTTTCCCCGAGGACCAATTCTTTATCCTGAATTGCTGTTTGACAGGGCTCAGGGCCCGTGGAGGGCCCGAGGAGACCGAAAACGGCGGAAAACCACAGGACACGTCTCCCCAATGGCTCCGAACTTCGCGCCTCGCGCTGCGCGACGCGCGAAGGACTTCGCGCTCCCGCGCCGCTCCCCGAGAGAGGAGAGGAGGACGAGGAATCGGAGCCGAACCGCGACGCGCGACGCGCGAAGAACTTCGTGCCCTCGGAAGCGCCCCTGGGACCTGCTCCCTGAGATCCGACGTCGCGAGAAGGCTACAACATCCAACAAACATCACGCCCGGAGCACTGGATCCCCTGTTTCTGCGTCACTTTCCGAGCCGCAGCAGGCCGCGAGGGTCCCAAGGCCCAACAAGAAGCGAAAAACGCCGGGCTCGGAAAACGTGGGACGCCAGGATCTCAGGGCTTCCTTCAAGGCTCGGCGACGAGCGAGGGGGGGAAGTGAGAAGAAGAAGTCCTTCTCAGAAGGTTCGGAAGTCCCTGGCCTTCTGAGAAGTTTTGAGAGCCTTCCCCGAAGACTCAGAACACCTCGCAGAAGGCTGGGGAGCTTCTGAGAAGTTCCGCCGCCTTCTGAGAAGGCCTCCTCCTTCTCACTTCCCCCCCTCGCTCGCCGCCGAAAGCGAAAGCAACGCCCGCCTCTGGCCCTCCTACTTCTTGGCGTCGGCCACCTCCTGGGCGTGCGGCTGCCGGGCGGAGAACGGCCAGGCTCGGCCAGCAAATGTAGCACCGAGCAATCGTACCGCACATCGGCGCGCGCGTCGGACCGGGCCGCATCGGCACGGCACGGAGCCGGCCTCGAGTGGACAGAGCACCCCAGCCCAACCCGAAGACCCAAATCTCGGATTGAGGGTGGACGGGGTCCACATGTACTTCTTCAGCGCTTGCCGAAGTGGAGGGCGAACTGGGGCCTTCGGGTAGGGTTGGCGTGGCTTGGTGGGTGGTGACGAGCGGAGTCGGCCGCGCCAGCATGCACAACGGCGCCATGCAAGCGCCGGGCCAGGCTGGAGCGGAGGGATATCGAGATCGCATCGGATCGCGCCAGCCGCACCCTCGGTGTCGAGGCGGACCGACTGGATATCGACATGGGCCGTGGGAAGTCACCGCGCAGCGCGCGGAGCGAAGAAACCCAGGGCACCCTGACGAGACATGGATGGTTTCTTGAGGCGCGCCCCCACTGTAAGGACCCGTCTCTTTCAAGACCCGCTTGCTTCGCGCCGACCTTGACACGATGGCCCACAGTCTCTCACCGCCAGCCCGTCGCCGTGCACACGTCGGGGGCGGCCAAGAGGGGGGCGTCCAAGAGGGGGGGGGCGCAACTCATGGCCGGCGGCACGTGCGCGGCCCTGGGGGGGGAGGCGGGTACGTAATGAGACAAGACGAGGCACCATGATATCTGATGAAATATTATGGCCCACGCCAGGATATCCCCCCCTACTGTCGGGGCGCTGACCTAAGGAACCCTGAATAAGGAACGAGGCCCCTTTTTCCCATAAGTTAAACTTCAAACTTCCATGGAACACCCAAGGCAAACTGTAAAACAATCGAGGAACACCGAGCCCCTCGCCAACGAAAACGGTTCCCTCTTCAGCGCCCCGACTGTAGCCCTCACCCCCCTCTTGGTCGCCCCCGAACACAGGCTCGTGCCGTGACGGCTTCGGCGCTGGCCCCCGGCCCCGCGAGGGCCGCTCCACCTCGAGCGGGGCCGAGCCATCTCGCGGCCTTCCGAGGGCGCGGGCCGCTCGAGACCGGCCAGCCCCGGACCTCTGGCGGCGTTCGGACTCGAGCGCCCGCGCCGGGGCGGACGTGGCGCGCAACCGCCGCAGGAGGGCGGCCAGAGCGTGCAGCGGAGGCCAGTCCACGAGAAACCTTCCACGAGAAGCCCAGCCCCGAGACCCCAGGACGTCCATCGATTTCTGGAGTGGGGAAGTCACGCCCTCCACAGTCAAACCAGCGTGGAAGTCTGGAGTGGGGAAGTCACGCCTTCCACGGATTTCTGGAGTGGGGAGAAGTCACAATTTCTGGAGTGTGCAGCGGAGGCCAGTCCACGAAAAGCCTTCCACGAGAAACCCAGCCCTGAGGCCCCAGGGCGTCCCTCGATTTCCGGTGTGGGAAAGTCACGCTCTCCACAGCAAAGCCATCGAAGCCCAGCAAGCCAAGGGCATCCTGGAGGCAAGCAGGGTAAGTCTTGGGATGACTCACCACTGTATCGTACAGTCAACCCCCGTAATTATCAGAAGGAGGCGCGGTAGGGATGCAAGGGCCCTGGAGGCCCAAGCGAGCGTTCTTCGAGCGAGCCTGGCCAGCGAAAGTCGCCGAGGATGGGCCGAAAAGGCCCTAAAGAATGCGAGGGTACCCTTGGGAAGATTGCCCATCCTTGCTGTACGGGTTGGCTGTAAGCGCTCGACGGTTTAGCCATGCCCCCACTCACGCCCCAACCCCTCAGAACCCCCGCTCGGTGGCAGCTGGGTCGATAACCCAGCCATCCGAGCCGTCTGAACCCATCGGACAAAGGTCTATATTGGCACTCCTGGAGGCCGATCACCGCGACTCCCTCGTGGAGAAGCTGTCTGCATAGGGCAAATCCTCTAGCATCACGGCGACCAATTCTGGCAACATTCAAAGATCCTGCCGCGAAAGTCCGAGTGGAGGCGTGGACAAGCGTCCGGCCTCGAGATGCCGCGTGTTCCATCTGTGCCCTGCCCCTCGTGGCGCCCAGCGGGGGGCAGCAGCAGGGGCACTTCAGGGATCGAGCGTCGGTCGCCGACATCAGGCTCCAGCACACACTCGAAAGAGAGGAGTGTCAGAGGAGGCCGTCCGTGTTGAGGCAGGAATGCGCTCAAAGCATATTGGGATCTGCACGCCTCAGAATGCAGACTTCCAGCGAGCGGCGCGCATCCGCGCGCCCTCCTGGGCGAAGGAGCAGCGGCGACACTGCAACGGCGATGGGGACCAGTGACCAGGACCCAGGCTAGCAGACCTTCTTCTTGTCACTGAGACACCTGGCACCTCGCCAGCGCCGGCGCAGGAGAAGGCGCTGGGGGCTGACGACGACGGGCGTCGACGACGACTGGCGTTGCCCAGTGGGGGGCAGCAAACGAAGGGGTGCAGAAAGGCGCGCGGTCCGTGCACCTTCGGGTCCCCGGGGGGGGGCCCTTCGGGACTCCTTCGGGTCCCTGGGGCAGCAAACGAAGATGTGCAGAGAGGCGCGCGGTCCGTGCACCTTCGGGTCCCCGGGGGGGGGGGGCCCTTTGGGACTCCTTCGGGTCCCTGAGGCAGCAAACGAAGGGGTGCAGAAAGGCGCGCGGTCCGTGCACCTTCGGGTCCCCGGGGGGGGGGTCCTTTGGGGCTCCTTCAGGGTCCCAGTCCTGTGGCCCTCGATCCCGTCCCCCCCATTTTCCGTGGGGGGGTCTGCTGCTGCCCGCCCTGCCGTGCGGAGTGTGCCGCACGAGGAGGAAGATGGGGAGGTGGAGGGAGGAAGAGGTGGAGGAGGGAGGGAGGAGGGGGGGAGTAGGGATGGGATAGGGGGCTGGGGGGGCAGGAGGAGGAGGAGGAGGAGGAGGACGAGGTGATGATGATGCTGATGATGATGCTGATGATGATGCTGATGATGATGACGATGAAGGTGATGATGATGATGATGATGATGATGATGATGATGATGATGATGATGATGATGATGATGATGATGATGATGATGACGAGGAGGAGGAGGAGGAGGAGGAGGAGGAGGAGGAGGGAGGAGGAGGAGGAGGAGGAGGAGGAGGAAGACACGTCCGTTGGAGGCGGAGAATCCCCGGTAACACAATCTCTCAGGGGCCAGCCTCTCCAAGTCTGCCTTTGCAGCCGAGGCTGTGCAAAAAGTTCGTCCGCTAGATTCCAAATGATTTTGGGAGCCCGCGTCCCCGCTGGATTAAAACGGGAAAGCCAGCCCGACTGGTCCCAGCGTGGACTTTGCCCGGGCCTTTTGTGGAACAAGTTTTAGACGACCTGCTGGATGCCGACACCCACACGCGCCGTTGCGAGCTGACCCAGTCGTGGTCCTGCCCGCTAGACGCTCTGGCTGCCCAGCTGTCTGGGTGCCGCTGGAGATGTGAGTGCCAGGCCAAGCGCGAATACATCTGGAATTTCGACCACTTCGTGGCCGCTACCTGCTTGACCGCGCAGTTCCTGCGCAGACAGAACTGCTGTGCCGTGTCGTTCGGCGTACAGCGAAGCCAGAGAATCCACGCTATAAGCTTGGACTGCCTCATGTCTAAGTAAATCTCAGTGGCCTGGCAAGGGGGCTACGACGAAGCTCTGGCTATGATGATGCCTCCAACAACATCGCTGAGCTTCTGGAGCCTGATCCGGATGGGGATGCAGCTGCTGGTCAATAAACGGCTGTTCTTCCAGAAACAAACGAAAATCTTTTGAGTTGCATCCTTTACGTCTTCCGCGTAACAGCCCGTGCACGAGACAAAAAGCCATAAAATTCTCACAGACGGCTGCACCTTCCAGCGGCACCCACGAATGTCCCGGAAATCGTGGCTCTCGAAAGTGAGGAAGATGAGGACGAGGAGAAAGAGGAAGAGGAGAAGGAATACGCGGCGGAGGAGGAAGAAGAGGCAGAGGATGAGGAGGAGGCGGAGGAGGATGAGGAGGAGGCGGAGGAGGCGGGTCCGTCAGGGTGTGCTGGACTCGTTTCGAAACCTGAAGTTCCTACTGCCGCGCATTTCCTGCAAAAAGCGCTCCGCGCTAAAAAAAGCTCGAGCTCACCGTTGAAGGAAGGAACGGCGCGCCGGACAAGTTGCCTGTAGGCCGGCCGCTGCGAGCGGCCGTGTACAGTCAACCCGTATCATACGGATGCGCGGTAAGTATGCAAGGGCCTTGGAAGCCGATGTGAACTTTGTTCCAACGAGGTTGGCCAGCGAAAGTCGCTAAGGATGGGCCGAGGGCGCAAGGATGCAAAGGTACCCTTGGGAAGGTTGCCCATCCTTATTATGCGGGTTGACTGTACTTCCAGCGGAGCGGACCGCCGCGGGCGCGCGGCGCGGGCGACGCCGTCCAGGAGCAGGTCGCCGGGCGACAGCAGCTCGCCCTGGTCGGTCTTCGTGCGCCCCCTCACGGGGCAGGCCGTCACCTCGGGCGTCGCCGTGGGATGCAGCTTCGTCGCCGCCGCCATGTTCGTCGTCGGCATCGCCGCCGCCATCGGCGTCGCCGCCGAAACCGCTGTCGTGCTCGTCGTCGTCGTCGTCGTCGTCGTCGTCGTCGTCGTCGTCGTCGTAGTCGTCGTGGTCGTCGTCGTCGTCGTCGTCGTCGTCGTCGTCGTCGTCTTCGGCATCGCTGGAATGGGGCGGGGGGGGGCGGCACATAAGGGGGGGCGGAAGAAGGGGAAGCCCGGGGAGTCCCAGGCTCCCCTTCCTCCTCCCCTTCTCACCCCCCATTCCTCCTACATCCTCCTGCTCCTCTTGCTCCTCCTCTTGCTCTTTCTCCTCCTCCTCCTCCTCATCCTCCTCCCACCTACTTATTCTTCCTACTCCCTTCCTCCTCCATTCCTCCATTCCTCCATTCCTCACCTTCCCCCGCCTCCTCCTCCTCCTCCTTCTCCTTTTCCTCCACCTGTGTTCCCCCTCTGCACCTCCTCCTCCTCCTCCTTCGCCTCCTCCTCTTTCTCCTCCTCCTCCTCCTCTTGCTCCTCTTCCTCCTCCTCCTCCGCCTCCTCCTCCTCCTCGTCCTCCTCTTCTCTCCGTTTGCTGCAGTGGTACACTCATCGGGTCAAAGCTCAAGCCAAGCACGATCAGTGACCAAACATTACCAAGGACGCACCCAAGATCTAGAAGAAGCAAAGCCTAGAGACAAAGACCGCCTCGCCGGGCGATGCCTCGATGAAGGTCGGCCTCCCCCTATCAATCCTCCCCACCCCTTCCCGGATCCTGAAAACTAACGACTCGATAGCTGGAAGAGCCCAGGGAACCCCTTGCATAAACTCACGCACTCCCACACACCCTGATAATCGACAAGTTCTCACGCTTCGCTGTTTAAAAACTGGGAGTGGCGAGTGCTGCTGCCCGAATCCGTCGGGTAGATTTCGCGGAAAGGGTCCCAATCGATGGCGCGGACGCTGGCGATCGTCAACTTCGCTACAAGGTCGTGCGCAGCCGTCTCCGCCAAATCCGGAGGGGCGCCCTGGTTCTGGTAAGAGGCCGCCTGCTCCGTCAAAAAGGCTATCTCCCTCAACCCCTCTGTGTAGTCCTTGGCCCACCGCGTCGTCTCAGCCGCGGTCTCTTCCATGCTGTCGAAGCAGCCTCTCTGCGCTTCGTCGACGCTCTGGTCTGGTCCGGCTTGTCGCCCGCCGCGGGCGACTTCCAGGGCCCCAAATGTCGAAATTGGGTCCCGCGCCGCCGCCAGCACGCCACACAGACGCCGTGGCGACGAGGGAAAGATCTCGAAGCAGCCCAGACAGGCCTCCGTCCGACACTGGCCTACCTGGAGGGCAGGCGAGGGGGACGGACACCACCCCCGTGGGGATAAAAGCGGGCACCCCCAGCAGCCGCCAACGGCCGCCCCCACACCCCGACGAGGGAACGCGGCGGCCCCCCAAACCCACGCCGAGGGGCGCCGCACCAAATTTTTGAGGCGGACCCAGCAGAACAGAGCGAGGTCCCGCCCCTACGCTCACCTCCCGCGCGTCGCTGCCCTGGCCTGCCTGGCCTTCGCGGCGAGGCGAGCCCGCTTGGCCGCATTCGCCTGCTCCAGCCACCTGGCCATGCTGGCGAGCTGAGCCTCGTCCCACTCGCGGTCGGCGATGGCCCAGGTCTGGAACATGTGCCTCTGCAGCGGCGGCCCTGCCTCGCCTCCCCTGCCCCTGCTCCGCTTCTCTGCCAGACTCTGGCGGCGCTTCCTTGTAAGGCACCGTTGCGGAACGCTTTGGTGGACCCGTCGAGGTCAGCTGGCACCCCTTCCCGCCCATCTCGAGCGAGGCCTCCCAGAGCAACACGGGCCATGTCGAACCGAGCGTCGACCTCCGCCTTGATGTTGGGGTCGCTGGTGTCGAAGGTTGCCGTGTCTCGGGCCGGGCGAAAGGGGGGGATAGCAAAGGGGGGGTTTGAGAATCAGCTCACATAGCTGATTTTCACGGCGCCTCCCTGCGCCGGAGACGCCCATGTATCGAGGAAGGGGCCCCTCGGTGGAGCCGAAACCAGCTGCATGCAGCAAATTTCGTACCCCCCCTTTCCCAATCCCCCCCTTTCGTCCGGCCCGAGTGTCGGCCGCCTCGCAGCGCAGGATGAGACGCCGGAAAGCGGCTGCGATCGCTGCCACGACATGGCGGCTCGCTCGCGCCCGCACGATGGCTCCCAGTGGACTGCAAACAGCAACTGTACACTCCAAACAGGGACTGGGCATGGATGTGCACGGAAAACGATAGCAAGAGACCCACTGAGGAACGAGCCAAACAAAGTGGCCTGTGCCAGACATGCTTGAGCTAGAATGGCTGCAAATTTCTTGCTCCTCCTCATCAGCCTCCTCCTCCATTTTTCCCTTATGAAGAACTTCTCCCTGTCGCACCCCGAGGCTCGTTTTTGGGTGGGCCGGGCGCTTGGACTGAGACTTCATCACCATTTTGAACCCTGAAGCTTTCAATTTGGCAACAGTTTCACAACTGGAGAGCGGGTGGTTTTCAAACTGTGGCTCCCACCTTTGCGCCGGGCGCATTCTTTTTTACACGTTTCCAAATGTTCACGGATTGAGGGCGTCGTTTTCCAATGGTGGTTCTCGCTTGAGCGCCGCGCATATTTCTGCAACATTTGCAAGAACTTCACGGATTGATGGCGGTTCCTTTTTGAAAAGTGGCTCTGGCCTTACCGCCGCGCACGATCGTTTCAACAACTTGCTGAGGTTTCGCGGATTGAGGGCAGGTCGTTCAGAATGTTGCTCTCGCCTCAGCACCGCACACATCCGTTTTAACCATTTGCAAGGGTTTCGCGGATGAAGAGCGGCTCGTTTTCAAAATGTGGTTTTCGCCGTAGCGCCGCGCACATTCGTTTTGACAAGTTGCAAGGCTTTCACGGCTTAAGGGCGGTTCCTTTTCAAAACGTCGCTCTCGCTTCAGCGCCATCGCAAGAGTTTTACGTATTCACATGAACAGCGTACAAGGAATTGTGTTCTGGAGAGATTCAGGATTATGAAGGTGCAACAATTCGTTGATGCGTGGTGCTAAAACCCCAATCGCTTTGATTCCGGATCGTCAAGTTGATCTGTGGCGCTGGAGTCCCGAGAATAATGTTTTGGCATGCTTCAGGGTCTTCAAACGGTTGTTTTCCAACGAGGCAGTCCCCCCAGTGGAAATTAGCCGTTGTGGGGGTCTGTGAAGATGGAGTTTGGAGGGAGGGTTTATTCCAACATCGTTGATGTCTCTTGCGTTTACACTGGTCCTCCTCCTCCTCCTCCTCCTCCTCCTCCTCCTCCTC